TGAAGCCATGAGAGCACTGTATGGATCTCTAAGTTCCCCAATCTTTGCTGGTAAAAAGCCAACATCACAGTGGGCTTGGTGGTGGTGGGGCAGAGCTAACCCTTAAGCCAACTCTACAGAATGAACACATACAGACAGAGAAGGTGCTTGGGATGAACAGACACTAAGACTGTATTCATAAGACTGCAAGGTATGCCCTAGGAAGCCTTACAGACAAACACCCTGATTTACTCAAATACCCTCACATACAAACACTCTGATTTTTTAATTTCAGGGAGAAGTCATGCCCTGTGTTTTGGGTGTTACACGAATCAGGAAGTACTGAAGAAAAATCCTGGAAGCAAGTGGGAATTCCTAAATGCAACCCACGCTGCGAGGAACAGGTTATGCTTGCTTATAGGGCAGCTCTACAGCCACACACAGTCCTGCAGAATAGGCAAGGAAATTAGACTTGCTCTCATTAGACTGAGAAACACTGTAAAAAGACACTCCCACTCACAGCTTAACTGTGTAACTTGTTTCTCCAAATGGTTCAGCTAGCCAACAGGACAAGTCCTGCTCCAAGCTGCACCCACCTAATTATTAGCGAAAATACCTCTCATGCATTAGCATTCACTGTTTTGCTCCAGAAAGCAACCACATCATGACTTAAGAGAGCACAAATCACAGAGAAACACAAAAAATAACACTGGTAACATTAAGACATCTAGTCTGTTATCAAATCCTAAAGCAGTGTGTCACACATCTTTCTAGTATGCCTTAAAACAATACATAAGCTAAAAGAGGAATGCTTCACCTAACAAGGGAGAACTTTTGGCGCATATACCAGCACTGGATAAGCAGATTGAAGGACTCAGAAGAAGAAAAGTTGACACACACTGAGCATGGCTATGCAAGAGGAAAGAAAAAAGGTTCAAGGGAGGCCTTGCCTATGTTGTTCAAATGTCCAGTTGGGACCCTTAAAAGTACTCCTTTTGGCAACACAAAGGAAAAGAAAAACATAAAAGGTCTATGCAGCAGAATTCTTAACAGCAGAGGAAAAATCTTAACAGCAATTCCATGTATCAATGGTTTGAACAAGTTCAGACACGGGCCTGGGACAGCGAAGCTGAACACTGGCATTCATCTTATACATCAGACCCTGTGAAAAACAGACTGGATATCTGAATTCATGAGGAAGACACTTCCACTGATGGTTTACCACAAGGCAATTCAAGCCTATTATCTGCTATTAGGAAGAACTTCCTAACTAACCTTCAAAGTATTGCTGTTTGGAAAACATTCCCCATTACTTTTGTTGCTTTCCCCATTTAAGACAGTAGGGCAAATTTGCAGTGCCACAGGATTTTAAGTAGGTAGTTTAAAAAAAAAAAAAAAGTAAGAGACACTAAGTACATACTGATCACTGTACTACATGAAGACGAATTAGAGATTTCACTGCCTGTATTAGGCAGTTTCCCAGACAAGAGTTTAAGACCTAAGAATTTAGGATGCAGTTCCCTAAGTTTCCACACATTCTAGTGGCCAGAAGACAGGCAACAAGCACAGGGACTTCAAGTTTTTCCCAAAACAAGCCCAGCTATAGGAGAATAAACTACCAGTATATATTTTGTTTGCTCACTATTTGACAGATCTCATACGGAGCACATAGGTCCAGCCTATTCCATCAAGTAACACCATGGATTATTATCCAAAGCACACAGAAACTCCAGTAAGGCATTTGCAATCATACCCAAACACCTCTACGAGCCTTACTTGGTCTCTTCAGCCAGGGAGACACAATTAGCATTACTTACTTTCTAAGTCCTAGCAATTTTGGGGTCCCAGCAAGTGCAGAGGGAAAAGAACAGAGAAGGGAACAAAGAGCACAAGTAGGCAACCTTTGGAGAAGCCGAAGAGCATTTCACTGCTTTTACCAAACACAAGGCGGTCAGCTGCACCATCAAATTCACTTGCAACAAATGATGCAAATTTTGTAACTAAAAAAGGAAAGCTGCAGTTGTTGGTAGCCAGACTGAAAGAAATGTATCTATTACTCTGAGAGGTAAATAATCCATAAGGACTTCAGGTTGCAGTTCTAATTGGCTACAAACAAGATCTCCCAGTAATTTCTAATTGGAACCAGACAGGATCCCTTTCTCTCTGTCACTAAGACATTCCCCAACAGACTTCAAGAACAGTTACATTTTGGGTGGACACCCCATGAGTTTCCCTCGTGTTACGTCAATATTCTTTTGCATTGGAAAGCATGCATCTTTAGCCCAAGCTTACCATCGACTTCCCAACTGCCATATTCCCACCTACCATGAATACCCCATGAGCCAAAGACAACAGGGCCACACATTTGACACTGCTTCTTTAAGCATAAATCTGATAGCAGAAATTTCTACTAATGAGATTGAAGTGTTTTTGTAAAAATACAATATTCACATTATAGAAAGATAACCTGGGAGCACTTCCCAGATCAAAGCAGGCCCAGAATTGAATAAAAGTCCAGCCCTCCAGGAGAACTCACCAAGACCACCAGGACAAGCATATGGCTCTTCCTAAAGCAAGTGAGGACCCCTGGTTTTTAGCTTCAATACCAGGAAGTAGATACAGACTTTGAGGGAGGACGGGTTACACTGTTCTGTTCCGCAACAGCTCATGTAGCGCTGAAATAGCATCACAGCATTTCCCTGGACTGCTTAGGATCAATAACAAATTTTTACCCTTACTCTTGCACAGCTCCACATACTGACATCTCTATAAACGCCTGGTAGCCCTATTTTAACCAAAGTTGTTTCTAGTCATTTGCTCCAAAACAGAGGCTATCATCACTCACACTACCAAAAGACAGGCAGGACAAGAAAGAAGCCAGAGCCACTGCAGCCAGTGATCTCTCAGGGAAGTCAGCAACCTTCTTCTAGCTACTGTCTGCAAAGCAGCAGTCCACCTCATGCTTTGGGAACCGTCTCAGCTTGTCATGTTTCTTCTATTCATTTTCAAAATCAGGCAGGATCCCAAATTTTTGGCCTTGGTTTTCAGTAACCGCGAAGTCTGAACAAGCCTGTTCTTAGGTGCCAGTGCTGCAAAAAACTGCATGAAAAGTTTTGTGAACTTCTACAGAAAAGGAAGAATGTCATAAAAGCCCTGGTCCATGCAATTTTTAGTTAAGACTTTGTCATAGTCACTGGGTGCATATTAGCTGTACCTGTTAGCGCTTGCGGAAGGTTTCAAAAGACATTTTCCACTTCTGTTGCTGCTGGAGTGGTGCCAGCTGACAGCTTTCATACCCATGGGAAGTGGCTAAAGCAATGCCAGTCTGAACTTGACTACACTGCAGGAGCTCTTAATAATAAGATTGCTTCTGGAGGACTCCTCTGTTTAGAAACAGTTGGGTTTTACTGTTAGGGACTAAGCTGACTCCCCAAAGAATCCATGTTAGAAATACCCCACTTTATGAAAGGATGTCCAAGGTTAATAGGCCTCTACTGATACTCATGACTCTACATCTGAGTTACTGTAGCTTTCTGAAGAAAGATGGAAATGGTTCCACACATGGCAACTCAGAAAAACAATATGGGCAAGGTAACCATAAAGGCAGGTGCAGATTAAAAAAAAAAAAAAAAAAAAAAAAGAAGGGGAGGGGGAGATAGAGAACAATCAGGTACTGCAAGAAATTTCAAATTCTCTAAAATGCTATGTTTCCCAGCAACAGTAACAAACTATAACTTTTCTGAGTTAAAGCACAGATACCTTAAGTTCCGTGAATAGCAAGTTAGACTCTTCAGCCTGGAAAAATGCACCTGGGGATATGGTAAAAAACTACAATAGGCATTGACAGCAGGTCAAGTGGATAGGGATCAGCTGCTCACTGCCTCTTCCAATACTAGGGATCATAGGCACGGTAAGGTAGAGCCAGTTCAAAAAAAACGAACAGCAAATCAATGCAATGGGTAATAGACCTGTGCAGCTATTTGCCAGGGGAGAATACTAATGATGTCTATATGAGCTCAAGGAGAAACTGGACAAGTACATGGAAGAGAGATTGATTATGGGCTACCAATTAGACAAACCAAAATCCAAAGCTCAAGAAATCCTCTGAACCAGGAACAGTCAGGGGATGGAAAGAGGAGTAATCAAACACTCACTTTTCATTTTAATCCTCACTATGCATCTGCAACTCAACTCAACTCAACTGTAACTCACTGCAACTGCTGAAGGAAGCTGGGCTAGACGAGCCTTTGGTCTCAACCAGCACAGCCATTGTCATGTATTCAAGTGAGGAGACATGGAACTACCTTTTCTCCTTCAGATTGGAAGAGATACCCTTCTCTCCAATAAGAGGAGAGAGATTTCCCTTCTGCAAGTGTGGACGTTCATTTCAGTCAAAAGGAGACCCACATGTCACCACTTTGGAAATCTGTCCTTGCAACCGTGCTCTACTTTCCAAATGCATCTTAAAAGCTTATCAAATTTCATCTTAAGAGCTGTTCCGTGAGGTTTCATCTCCACAGCTCCCACTGGAGTTTTTGTCAGAACCAACCTGCTCCTATAGTTGGGGACCTTCTGATTTCCACCCATCACAGCCAGCTTTTACCCATCTGTTCTTGTGCCAACAATTGTCTGTTTGGAGCTAAGCTGCAAGCGATCTGACATGTTCACAATAATGGATCAATGGTCTACTACAATGAAGGAAAGCAAAAGGTCAGATCTGCATTACAAAACACGTATTTAATTTTGCACCTAAAATTCCAAGTTACTCCAAATCCCAGAGAACAGAGTCGAAACACACACACACTTCAGATTCTGCATCAGCCTGCCTATGTCAAATGAACATGCAAAGGGATTTTTCTTAAGCTGGTCCCTCAGACTGGAACGAATATAAAAAATAAGCGCAGACCTGTAAATAAATTTATAGGTATATTACATACAATTATGCAAGTCATTTATATGATAGGGGTAACAATAAAGAGAAAATAAATTAAGGTAGTAATAAAGTATTAAAAAAAACTTACTTCCCAATGTTTTCAGGTAGTGCTTGCAGAGAGATGTCATTTACTGAAAGACACGTTAGATTCTGTAACTCAGGAAAGCTTTCGGGCAACCTATGGAGATATTAATTCAAATCAAGGACTTCCAGCAGAAGTATTCACATTCATGTAATACATACTGGAAAAAAGAACATGTAGTGGAAAACAAGAGTCTATATACACACACATACACACAGAGGGAGGCATGCCCAGACTCCAGCATGACTCTCGGAAAATTCTAGTGATCATAGTAAGAAAAATAAAACATGACTTAGAGACTTTAAAGCTGCTTCTGTGTCAAAGAATAGGTAATATCCCTGTCTCCTAGCCCCTTCTTTCCCTGCCCCCAATTTGCAAACTTTAAAAAGCTACAGGGCTTGAGAACACTTGAAGCATTTTAACAAATTTTTAAAAATCAAACATCATTAAAAAAAACTTCTTTACTATTATTTTCCTGCATCACCTAGATGGTAAAATAATTAAACATATTATTTTTATTCAGGCTTCAGTTACATACCTACATACTTACAGCATGGCCACTTCATATTAGCTACTAGGCTGCTCTTCAACTGCTGCTTTTTTAAGAAACGTCTGTTCACTACAAAGATAACGTTCTGCTGTTACAGCATCTCACATTTACTGGTTCACAACAGAACAGCATGGCCTTCTTACACTATAGAAGGCAGCTATACGCAAAACACTCCCAAAGTTTCCAAAGCCTTTAGGTCCATCACCCGGCAGGTCTTCTGCAAGGCTTGGCCTTCGCTCCCACAGAAGGATTCCTGCACCACTTGCTGCTCACTGGCAGCCAGGTTGCACTAAGCAACTCAGTTTGCAGTTGCACAGGAGACAGGGTGGGGTAGAAGGGGCAATACGGTAGAGGAGGAGAAGCCCGTTGCCCAGCCATCCAACTTCTGCTTGACCCCCAGAGCATACAACCTAAGCTGTAGCATTTGGTTTGGTTCCTGCTCTCCCCACCACCCGGCTCAAGGTACACGGTATGACCTGTCAGCAACTAGCCAAAAGGAGATGCGCACCTACAGGGAAATAAAACTGTACATGATGGGGAAAGGGAAAAAGACAAATTACAACAGATGGGCAGGGAGGGCTTTTCATGCACTCAACTCTACTGCACTGTTTGTCATTTTCTGGACCTTTTTAACAGAACATGCTCAATATCTCCAAAATGTGAGCTTCGCTGTAACCATTCATTACCTCTTAGGCTCTAGCAGGTTTAAGACTGGACTTAAATGGACTGATTATCTTTTGGTCACGCCCAAAGTGGACAGGTGGTTGGACTAGACGATTGTTGTAGGTCCCTTCCAACTGGAACTATTCTATTCTATCCTAGTTATAGCATATAGTGGACTTCCAGTTTAATCTACAATAAATGTGTCTGCTTTTTATTAATATAAACCTGAAATCATCTGAAGAAAGCTAGAAAAATTGTCTGCCAGCCACTTTTAATGCTGCAGGCTCATCAATTATTAAGTTTGACAATGAGGCAACATACTATATTAGTGGTAAGACATTGATTGGGAAGATCTCTGGATGGCTTTTAAGCTTAGAGGAAATAAGGGTAAGAATCAATAGCTAAAAAAGTTCCAGGATATCACACAGAAAAGGAAATCACTACTGGGCTTTCCCACTCTGCCTGGGCAAACTAGTGGCAAAACCTACGTGCTGTTATATAGGTAAAACTGAAATTCTGGATCTCATAACAGAAAATACCTGGCAACCATGTGTAAACAGCTTCTGGTATCTGTGTTTTCTAACTTAGTAAACTGCTTGGAGTGATGTTTTCCAGGACACACATACACTTTGGAGCCACTTTATCAAGAATTTTAAAAATTCCCTTAAACTATCAACAAAGAGTTATGAGATCTATTTCAACCCCACTAAAAAGTCTTTCAACTCATTTTTAAGTCCCCTTAGCTGTAGCTGTGCATTACAACTACTGTTTAAGGAAACACATTACTTGGGCCCCAGGCCTTATTCAGCAGACAAAATAGAGAAGGTAACTAGCACACTACTACAGACGACTTTGATTTCAATACCACGAGATGCAGCTCTGAGCTTTATGCACTGCACACTGATGCCTAGAAAAAAAGCTGTTCGGTGACCCTCACCACTTGCGTATCTAAACCATGAGTTCAGCCTCAGTTTGCTTTACCAGATTTTTGTGGTATTATTATCCTCACTATATAAACGGGCTACAGAGGCACAGGGATTAAGATCACAAGTGTCCCTTTAATGCTCAGAGATGTGACTTTCCAGAGAACTTAGGACGTACTATGGGCGGTATTCAAAGTGCACTTCTGAAGAATCTCAGCTGCACACGTGGGAGAAGCCGTCTTGTAAAACCACTGGAGCGGCTTAAGATATTACAGAGACTCTCCTGTTTGTTAGCACTGCTGCACCCCAGCCAGCCAGCTAATCCGGCAAGTATCCCTAGCCCATCTCAGTGCAAAGCAAAGCAGGTCAGGGAGCACTCGCTGTGAATACTCTGGCTTATGTGACTTGCTCAGCATCACAAAGGAACTCTGTGGAACGGGCTGGTTTAGGAAACAGTTTTCCAAATAGTATTCAAAGGCTTTAACTAGCAGATCGCCTCTTCCTTGCTATCTCCAGCCTCATTTCACTAGATAAAATTCCAAATGCTTCAGCAAATGGAATAGAGAAATGTAAATAAAACTCCTCTTCTATACTAAAAGTGTGCATAATCCCCAAACCCTAGCTCATCAAAACACAGACCGGCAACAGCCGTAGCAGCCACCGACATATGCAGTGCATTTTTGCCACATGTTACTGCATGTCACTGTGTCCCAATTGATGGGAGGGTGATGAAACACTAGTCCAAGCTTTAATCATTAGTAAAAGCCATTATCTGCAGTGGCTGATCTAAGGTCTACTCCAAATTGTCAGGCACCTGGGTTTGTGCCAATGCATTTGTGCTAACCACTGCCTTATCACCCCCAAGTATGAGCATGGTTTTCCTATGCATTTAAGAAGAGGAATGAAAATTACTTAAGAGACAATCAGATTTACATTTTTCCTGGTTGGCTAACAAATTTCATCCCCTCCCAGGAAAGATGCGCATCACTTTTTAAATCTGAACTTTTGTTGCAGTCCGTGCCAGAGACAGACAGTGTTGGCAAGATTTCATAGAGATCCTTGATCACAGTTTTTAAGGGCTTATTTAAAATTGTAATAGTTATAGCAAGATTGTAATTCTGGTATGGCAAGTACTAAGAAGAAGGTAGAAGTTACCTAGTCAGTGGATTCCCACTGAAATCTGCTATCTGTAGTGCTCTGCAGAATGAGATGCTTTCTGGTATTTCAGGAATATCTGCAGAAGGAAAAAAAAAAGGAAAAAAATTGTCAACAACTGTACTGCATCTACACTGAAAGTATTGCCTCATTACATTCAGTAATTTGCTTCTGCAACGACTTATCTTGGTATCTTTCAAGACATTTCAACATGCTAGACTGCTTCACGTCCAAGTATACGGCTATCACAGCAGAGCCATTTTGTACTTTTTCAAATCCCATTTCCCCCCCCTGCTCCACACTTGTCTTCCTGATCCTAGTCTGTGGACTGATCTTTATCAGCCTCTGCCCATCAAAAAAACCAGACTCTATGTGCTAGGACTGTCCTAAAGAACCAATTCAAACCTGAACCTCTTGTAATTTGATCAATACACACCCACAATTTGTGCTGGCAGAAAGTATGTGGGGAAGAAAAACAAAGGAAGGAAGAAGAGAATGTGCAAGTCTCTCCACCTGTAACATACGCTCATGGGAGCAGCACTACCCTGCCTCACGCTAAAGCCAGGTAATTTGAAAATATTACTCAAATTGACAGGTCCCAAATAAGTGCTAGTACATTATTCCAGATTGTCAGAAAGTAACTGGAGATATTTGTATGTGAAAACAAATATTTTTTTTCAATTATCTTCAACATAACATGTTTACCTACTGAAGTTATGCCTGCTATCTGAAAAATAAAATTGTCTTCTGGGCCTCTTACATCCAGCTGTATTTCCACAAATAGCCTGTGGGTCCTCTTCTTTACTGTCGTTGACATCCAGCAAAAATGAAACCAACATGTTTGGTTTCCTTGTTTAACAACTTATTTTTACGATTCATTTTGAAAAGAATTCAAAAATAAAACAAGGCAAATCTTAAATTAAAAAAATCAGACTTCTGTTGCCAAGTTTTTACTATTTCCATTTTTTTGACAGAGCAGTACATCTACTCCGTCTCCTCTTCCTGCTGTTCTCATCACAAAGAATAATTCAGGAAATGTCTTCATAGATTTTCCTCATGCAAGTGGCACCACTGACCTCAGCAGCTGTCAGTGATCTAAATATGCTGAAAAATATTCAGAAATTAGGTCTCTTCCTACCTAGCTGAGCAACTCAGAATTGACTACCTATGTATTTCACCCAGCTCTTCTCCCCAAAAATGGTGCGATGGAGGGAGGAGGGGGGGAGGGAGGAGAGCACCTGCTCCTCAGGTTCATCTCTTGCCAGGGAATCTGAGGAAATGCATTTATCTTGAATGATTTCCAGCTCAGAACTGAACCCAGAGACAGCAAGAACATCTTCCAAACCCACGGGTCACCAGTTGTGAACGATCAACAAAAGGGCGGTAGAGCAGCATGTCCTGGGAACCTTCTTCTGTTTCCTACATGAGTGGGAAGGGCTGGAAAGAACACCCAAATGAGTTTCAGTCCATCCCGAGAGATGCTTCTACTCACAATGGAAAGAAACCACTCTTGCCTCACAAATCCCAGTGCTCCCAGTACACTCACCAAGCACAGCTTTGAAAACAGCTGGGGCGGACGGAGAAACGGCTCCGAATGATCACGAGTAGCTCTGGAGCTGTCTAATGACTAACCCCAGAAATACACTGCATATTCAGAAAATATATTCACTGTTACTAAATATCAAAATCATGAACGAGAGGGGTGAATACCCACAGTGCGAGGCATCACACCACCAAGCTGTGCTTCCCAACGCCCTCAGTACACTTGGTGAAAGAGAATAAACTATTCTTAAACCTACGCAAACCCTAAGGCCCGCCAACAGCAGTAGTTGTCCTGTAAAAGGGAATAGGTGGCTTTAGAGACTAAATCCCATCAGACATGTTTTCTATGTTCTTACCCACCCAGCCCTTCATAACAGCTGTGGTATTTGAGGGGAAATGGTCGATCTTTCCTAGAAATCCAAGAGCAATGAGATAAATTCAGAGCGAAACCCAGGCGAGGCCTTCGCGGTTAGAAGGGACAGGTCATACCGCGTCCCCACATCAGGATTAGGAAAGCTCGCTCCCCTGTGGCACCTTGCCTCACAGACAGACCAGACCACGTGGCAGGACATCAGCCTGGCGCAAAGACCAGAGGGGTGTGGGGGCCGCAATTCGGGACCCTGTGGAGGGGTTGTCAGGCCGGAGAGCAACCAAGCCTTGCGGTCAGACTCTTCCAACCTCTTCATGGGTTTCACCTCATCCACAAGCCCAAATCCAGCACACCATGCACCAGTGGCACAGTCAATAAGCAGATCCTCCATGAAGAACCTCAGAAGCAGCCATGAAGCTACTGCAGGAGCCACAGGGCTCCCAAATTTAAATTGGGGACACTTGAACAACCAATGTATTTCAAAGCGTCACATTCACAAGCATCTCTGCTGAACTCACTTCAGGAGCATCATTAAGGTTGCCTGATCAAATGATGACCTTAAAGTGATAAATTCTCATAACACTCTAAGTATTTAAAAGCATTTGCCTGTCACTCACACCCCAGAAAGTAAAAGCATTGACGTCATTGCAGGCACATTGCTTTGTCTTGCAAAACAGATGGCAAATAAACTACTGCTTTTTCTTTGTTTCTTTTTTTTTTTTAATTAAACATTCATGTAGAACCATTCACTTTTGAAAGGGTGTTTTAAGAAATACCGACAGTACACAGAAATGGAA